AAAAAAAAAAAAAAAAAAAAAAAAAAAGACGAGAAATTGTTTAAGTTTAATTGTATATTTATTTTTACTGTATAACTTTTTGATGAATTCTTTATTTTGTTCCGTCATCTTATCAAATTTTTAGCTAACTGTCTGAGAAAGATCTGTGAACAATCAACAGCACTGTTGCGGCATCAATAATCTATACATATAATATATAAACGGCAATGATCTATCCATATTATCTAATCGCATTTATAATTCTTATCCATTTATCCGGTTCTGCGGTAAGTTCTGTTCCTTCTCTTTTTTTTTCTGTTCCTATTGACACATCAATGCAAAAACTACCAAAAAAAAAAGAATTTTTTTAATTATAGAATCTCATTTTTAACCCTCAGGTTTCTTGTTTTTTTTTTTTCAACAGTTATCATCAATAACCGATGTTTTCAGGCAAACTGTGGTACGGCACAAACTGACTATGCACCTTGTATATCAAAAATTCGTGCAAATTCTATGTTCAAACAGTGCTGCCAGCAATTTGCTCCAGAAGGATGTCATGAACTTTGTCAATATGAAACTGAAGAAGTTGTTGCTCGTAATTTGGTAAACCACTGTTATCATTATGTGTTTGTTTTAATTAATTTTATCTTTTATTACCGTCATCTGTAACAAGTTTTTTCTTTTTTCAGTTGATGCGCGTTATAAGAAACAGTAACTGCAGTTTAAAAAACATTGCCGCTGTCCTGTTTTGCGCTTCTCAAAATCAGGTAAATTCATTAATGCTCTAAAACAGTCACCTTTTATTTTTTTTGATGCTTACTGTTCACAATCGTTCTGCAGTATCAAAAAATTGAAAGAAATTTTGTTTAGTGAAAGAAGAGATACTCTGTTTTATCGGAATATTTTCGTAATGATCAATGCTCTCATATGCGCAACATAAATTTTAGGATAATCGTAAATGCTGTGAACATCTAAGTATGGCAGATCCAAAACTTGGTGTTGGAAATCGTTGCTTAAGATTCTGTGATCCTGCTGGTGAAGGAATCAGTAAAATTGCAAGGAATGACGTCACCTGCCTGTTCAACTGGAATGTCTTAATGTACTGCCATCACAGCGGGATACCACAGGAATGAAGTGGACTACAAATGAACAATTATCAACAATGTAAAATATTTCATGTACGTTTGTCCTTCTTTTTCATCTTCATCACCGTTTCTTATATTCATAACCATGAACACCGCAGTCAGTGTTACTGCCATCATAATCAATGTCTTTGTCCCTTATTGCCCTTCTTCTCCTGTGTTCCGCTCCGACACTGCAGACTGCTGAGCAACAGTGTCCAAAAACTAGCGACTCAATAAGATTTGCTACTAATCACTATTTAATATAATAATCAGAACAGCACTTTTTACCGAAGTTTTAATGTTTCTTGCGAATATCCAAAGTTATTTATTTGATTATTTTGTTATATGATCAACACTCCCTTTTCCGGATTCAAAAAATAAAAAAAAACACTTTTACGTCTAAATACATTGTCAATACGACTTAGACGAATTTTATAGAATAATGACAACCTTCTGACCACGATAATTTTAGTAATAAGCAACAAATATATTTAAAAAAATATTATTGCCAAAAATCTAAATGGTTTCGACAAATGTGTTTGTAATAATTAAATTTCAACAGTTAGAAACATTTGTGCACGTGAATGACTACAAAAAAAAAAAAAAAAAAAAAAAAATTCACTCCCAACAGATCCATGCAAATGTTCATAAAAACAAAGCATTCTAAAACACCAGAGAAAAAATTTTTAGATTCTCCACTCAACACTGCTCAATTAAAGTCTCATACACCTTTGATTTTAAAAATAATCTCTTAATTACAGGATATCTATTCGTTTTTTAGGTCAGTAGTGTCTGTTTTTCAAAGTGTTACTTCAAAAGATTGATAGAAAATAAAAAACAATTGCTGAAAAAAAATATTTAATTCTTGAATAATCAAAATATACTTGAGCAGATTTTGCGAAAGCGCTGCATAAAGAAATTGCTCCT